GTATAATGCTCGAACCACCGCGTATAATGGTGAAAGCACCGCGTATAATGGCGAAAGCACCGCGTATAATGACGAAAGCACCGCGTATAATGTTGAAATCACCGCGTATAGTGCTAGAACCACCGCGTATAATGCTCGAACCACCGCGTATAATACTTGAACCACCGCGTATAATGGCGAAAGCACCGCAAATAATGCCGAAAGAACCGAGTATAATGCTAAAAGCACCCAACAAAATGACGTTTGATCACTTAAGACAGCTGTGGCTTTCCATAGTCAAAAGCAAGTTAATTAAGTGTGATACGTATGTGTAATGGTAAGTATTTGATTCTGTTACTAAAAATTTGCGAACAAATCATAGAGTCAAAAAATTGACCCTCGACATTTTTTTTCGACCCTCGACATTTTTTTCGACCCTCGACATTTTACCCTCGCCCTCGACCATATTACCCTCCACCCTCGACCCTCGACCATTAGTCAAACTCACACATTTCTGTCGAATTAAAATCGGGCGTCCATTGCATGCTTAATGTACGCATCTGTAATTCCGTATATACTACAGCCTGTGAAACACGGCGGGTCTAAAATGCAAAGTACATGCTGGTTGTTGAATTATCGCCATTATAATATTTTCCGTAATCAATTCATAATTCGCTCCTGAATATTAGGTAAAGATGCGGTCACAATTGTGTTTTATTACGATGTGTTATACTAACATAATAGTAAATGGTCAAGACCTAAAGGTATTTAAACCATGAAAATAAACAGTTTGAACGGCAAATATAAAACACAGCACGCAGCAATTATAAGGTAAATTGCAGAATGCAGATAAGAATAATGACGATATATTGGTACTGATGAAAAATGTGAATGCACTCCTTAATATGCACTATATATACTATATATGGATATAGTATACATCTTTTTACAAGCCTAATCAAGAAGACCTCTTCCCTTTTATGTTTTCGCGCAATCACAACATCGCTATTTAAAACGTCTTTACTATAGGCTATATTTAACATGCAACAAGTCACACAGCTATACAGTATATAACTTATAAGGCTGTTTTCCCCCCAAAATTATTCTAGTTGGGAAATGCAATGATATATAGCTTGGAACACGTTAATACACACAACTTTTCCTGGTGGCCTCCTATTTTACTTTCTTCATAGAAATCAGAAAAAAATTATAAATATTTAATCGGCATATACATGCAGTAACTAGTTGACTATACGCTAACCTTACGATGTCTTCTCACTTCTGATGTCGTCCTAAGTGTCCTATATCCTTTAAGCTACGTAAATCCTCGCATAAATCCATTTTAGGCACTGCAGGTTGCTATCTATCAACCTCGTCCCCAGGGTCTTCCTCGTGGTGGCGCGTGAGCTGAGGAAGACCCTGGTAAAATACGATGAAATCTCCAAGATTCTTGGAGATTTATCGCATGCGCAGTAACGACAACGTTATGTTGCTGACTACAATTATCGCTGGCGC